ATAGCTATATCTGAAATAATCTGGCCTGAGTACGATGGGGATGTTGAGAACAGTGCCTTAGACTTTAGTAAAATCTTCAATAATATATTCAGTAAACTCATTCCTCTTGTTAAAGAAAATACCGGACCTCGTAACTCGTAACTCGTTGTGGTTTAACTCAGAGCTAAAGCATTTAAAAAATCAGAAAACTAAATCATTTAAACTTTATAAAAAATCAGGCCTGTCTTCTCACTACGCCGCGTACTCCATCCTTCGTCATAAATACAATGCCTTAAACAGAAAATGTTACAGGAATTACATTAATAAAACTCGCATTAACATCGTTTCTAATCCCAAGTCATTTTATCATTTTGTTAACTCAAAACGTAAAATAAATGGGTTTCCCTCAACACTGAAATTAGATGATGTAATTTCTAGTGATGATGATATGATTGCTGATATGTTTGCAAATTATTTTGAATCGAACTATTCTGTCGAGCCAAATGAAAAAACTTCTAGCTATCCTTTTCCACTCCCACAGTTTGACCACATCCGTATTCCTTCAATCTCCGCTGACAATGTTCTCCTTCATTTGAATAGTTTAAAAAATTCTTTTCTAAGCGGTCCGGATGGTATTCCCTCCTGTGTCCTAATAAGTTGTGCTGATTATCTATATAAGCCATTAACAAACATCTTCAATGCTTCTCTAAAGCATGGAGTTTTCCCCTCTTTGTGGAAGGAGTCGTATATCTTGCCGCTTTATAAATATGGAAGCAGGGCGAATATTGCGAATTAAAGGGGAATCGCTAAGCTGTGTGCCATTCCTAAATTATTTGAAGAAATCGTTACGGAAGAACTATCTTATTCCATAACACGCGTTATCGATGTATCACAACACGGCTTTTGTATAGGTAAATCAAGTGTATCAAACCTTCTTGAATTCACTACAAATGTGAACAATGGTTTTAAAAGTAATTATCAAACTGACGTCATTTGCACTGATTTCAGCAAGGCTTTTGATAAAGTATCTCATTTAACTCTAATATACAAACTTGATAAAAGTGGTTTCCCTCCAATCCTGCTGCACTGGCTTTCTTCCTATTTCATTGGCAGGAAACAGAGGGCTATCTTTAAAAAATGTTCATCTCGTGTAATTCATGTGACGTCAGGTGTACCTCAAGGTAGCCACCTTGGTCCCCTTCTGTTTATTTTATTCATCAACGATCTTCCAAATATTTTGAAGTATTCGAATTGCTTAATGTACGCAGACGACGTTAAGTTATTTAAGTTCATTGGTGCCCCAGAAGCAGGAAACAATTACAGGTGGACCTTAGTAATGTGTTTAAATGGTGCGAAGTAAATTCTATGTCACTTAACTTGAAAAAGTGTAAGTTTATGTGTTTCTCTAGAAAACCCTTTCAATCATATAGCTACCGCATTTGTGAACATAGTGTTGATCAGGTAACTCATTTCATCGATCTAGGCGTAACCATGGACTCTAAGCTTGAATTCAAGTCCCATGTAAACTCTTGTGTTAATAGAGCCAAGGGCGTCTTGGCTTTCATCAAACGTTGGGCTAAAGAATTCAGAGATCCTTATGTCACTAAAGCTCTCTTCACCTCCCTAGTCAGGCTGATCTTAGAATACGGGTCCGTCGTATGGAACCCTAGATATCAAACGCACTCTGACAGACTCGAGTCGGTACAGAAACAATTCTTATTACTCGCATTAAATAATTTGCCTTGGGATTCGACATTAAATCTCCCACCGTACAAAAGCCACTTGAAGCTCATAAATTTGCCAACGCTGCACAGCCGTAGAGAGATGATCGGGGTTTTGTTCATGATTTAGATCTTGAACGGGATGGTCAATAGTCCCTTTCTACTGAACCAGATCACGTTTTGTATTCCTTCTAGGCCTTCTAGACATTACAAGCCCATTAAGCTAACTATTTGTAGAACAAATTTTGAAATGCATGATGCTTTTCGTTGCCTATGCTAGGACTTTAATAAGCATTACGACTATTTTTACACCTCCGACTCACATTTTACCATTAAGAAAACCTTACTTGAGATTTTGAATAAATAACACGTAAACCCTTACAATGTATTTCAGTTCAGTTTATGAGGTAAACATAAACGTGAATCGCTTTTTTGTACCTAAATAAATTAATATCTTTAACCAGGAACGATAAATTACACAATATCTATGACTGCTTAGTACAACTGTAATCGGCTTCGTATATTTTCGCGACCGCGTAAGACAATACGAGCATGGATCGGAAACTCGGCCTTTCCGACCATGATCAACAGCTTGTCTACAGCGCGGAGCGGAAACTAGAGCTTTCCGCCTGCCACACACTCAAAGTAATGACTTCGGGAACATGGATCGGAAACTCGTTCTTTCCGACCATGTTCAACAGCTTGTTCATAGCGCGGAGCGGAAACCAGAGCTTTCCGCCTGCCACACATGCAAAGTAATGTCTTCGGGAACATGGATCGGAAATCCGGCCTTACCGACCTTGATCAACAGCCTGTCCGCAGCGCGGAGCGGAAACTAGGTCTTTCCGCCCGCCGCACACAAAAGTAGACTGAAGACAGACTAGGCCTCGCCAGCTACCAAACCTGCTATTTTATGCTGTTATTATTATTATTATTATTATTATTATTATTATTATAAATTACTATGTATCTAAATGTTCTATTCTCATTTATCTGTAAGAAAACATTTTTCTGTAGACCAAATAAAAAAAATAAAAAAAATAAAAATAAAAAATAAAATAAAAATAGTTAATTGCCTACAGTTAGATGAGTTTACAACTAATATTGAACTATTTGCAAAGATATGTATCAAAAGTGTAAGCATCTGGCCTTTCTCAATGAAGCTGCTAGGTGATTATTCGTCAATTTGAAGTTAGTTGCTGCATAAGTAGAAATAAACAAATTTTTCTAAGGTAATTGATTGAGCTACGCCGTACGCTGGCAAATGTCAAGTGGAATTTCTTAGCAAGGAAGCGGATTGTTGGGACCTATAAACCTATAAAAAGAAAAAATAAAACACCGAAAAAAGAACAAAAATGCACTAAAAATCGGAAAAATACCGAGCTTAACTCATAAAACTTTATTCTCTACAGTAGAGATGGGAAAACTCAGCACATTTGCACTGTGAAAATAAAAGTTATTCGGCAATGAAAGAAATCATTTAAAACCCGTTTATTTGTGAAATGCACAGTTTTTATTGATTCCTGTACGATTCTTATTGTGTGACTTAGAGATTTTTGAAATGACCGATTCAATTTAAATTGAAAAATCAGTCTCGTTATTGAATGCTGTAATCTCAAAATGAAATTTCGAATCCAGTTTCATTCGATAGTTGTTGTTGTTGTTGCTGCTGCTGCTGCTGCTGTGGCTGTTGTTGTTGTAGCGGCTACAACAACCCCGCCCAGATCGGTTAATATATCAGTCGTTGTCGTCAAGCTCAACCACGGAAGCCCCAAGAAGCGTGCAGCCTCAATGGGGTCGGTCTACAGGAACAAAGGCGTTAGCTGTGTCGGGTTTTCCGGACATACGAAGAGATGCTTCGAGTCGTGGGGTGTCTCTGCGCATGCCAGACACTCATTTGGCACATCTGCTTAATGAACCTCTGGACTTCGTCTGTCAGTTCGTAAAAATGCCTTCTGATCTTCGGAAAATGGAACCTCTAAAAACAGAGGATTACATCCAAATTTTTGTATAGTTTCTCGTGATATTTCCCTGGTATATTATTTCGCTAAGCAATTTTAATTATCGATCCCATAGGCGAACAGTGCACCAACTCCATACAAACAATGTACAGAAATGGGAGTCCCTTGTTTTGGTTACCAAATTATTGTACTTTTTTAATGTATGGGATTCGAAAAAGTCGAGACCTAAACTTCAATATTTCCAAAATTAAGAGATCCTTGAATCTATTGACTTAAATAAAGGAAGAACAAGTAAGAAAGTCTAGGTTCGGGCGGAGCCGAACATTAAATACCCGGCGCTAGATGGTAAGCCGGGGTGTACCAATTTTGAGTTAAATTTCGAAATATTGCAGATTCAAGCATTTCTGAAATTTACCGTTAAGTATATGAAAAGCGGCCGTAATTTTAGTCCGATTTCAATAATTTTCAACGTTTTGCTTTTATGTGGCAAGCACAATAAAAATACCGAGTTTGGTACAAATTGGTAGAACGGTTACCGATATACATATATGTGATCATAAGTGGGCGGTGCCACGCCCATTTTTCAAAATTTTACCATAAACGTATTTCTTGGTAAAGAATTGTTGCAAGCATCAATTTTGAATATATTAGCTTCAGTATTTACTGATTTATCGAAGATTTTGCATTTCTCTAAATTACCGTTATATGGGATGTGGGCGTGGTTATTGTCCGATTTTTTAAATTTTCGGCCATTTAGTATGCTGTACCAAGGCCAATAACTGTGCCAAGTTTGGAAGAAATTGGTGCAGTGGTTACCAAGATATACACATGTAACCATAAGTGGGCGTGGCTACGCCCATTTTCCAAAAATTTATAATATTCTTATTTTTCGTCTGAAAATTATTGTAAATATCAATTTTGAGTGAATTATCTTCAGTAGTTACTAAAATATCGCAGTTTTCGTATTTCTGGAAATTACCGTTATATGGGAAGTGGGCGTGGTTACAGTCTCATTTCGCCCATTTTCAATACCAACCTGCCTTGGATTAATGGAAACCTACATACCAAATTTCGTTGAGATATCTCAATTTTTGCCCGAGTTATCGTGTACACGGACAGACAGACATGGCTTAATCGACTTCTCTATTCATTCTGAGCATTTATGTATACATTTGTCTATATCTATCTCGATTCCTTTTGGCTGTTACAAACAACCGTTATGTGAACAAAATTAATATACCCTTGTGCACAAGTGCGCTCGGGTATAAAAATACAAAACCTATCTAAATACAAGGTTACTCAACTAAATGCTTTTGCTTCCTATCTTTTTTCGTTCCAGGTCTTCATCTAACTAACTCTTCCTTGGTGTTTCAGGTGAAATAACTCTTATCTCCTGTGAGCACTGCATGTGCTGAAATGCTACTTCTATTGTAGTTGCTTTGTGAAACGCTGTAAACTTGACCAAAGATTGGGCCTGGAGCCCAACATATTAAACATAACTTTAAATATCTTCAAAAGTAGACGAATAGTATAAGGAAAATATGAATGTGACAACAGTTTCCACTGGCACTAGCACTGGTACCATTCACGCAACACAACAAACGACCAAAACATACAAAATTGAGATGTTGGATGATGGCCAGCTGAGCATGGCCTCAGATGATGACGACGATGACTTAATTAACAGTGACGACAGTCTTTATGATGACGCCGACTTGGCGCATATAACAGTGCAGGATGATGTGGCAAATCAATTGGCAGCAGCCGGTCCAGTAGGTGTGGCAGCGGCAGCGGCGATTGCATCATCGAAGAAGCGAAAACGTGCACATTCGTTTGAAACGAATCCGTCGGTGCGCAAAAGACAGCAAAATCGTTTGTTGCGAAAACTCCGCGGCATCATCTACGAGTTTACTGGTCGCGTGGGCAAGCAAGCTGTGGTGCTGGTGGCCACACCTGGGAAACCAAATACCAGCTACAAAGTGTTTGGCGCAAAACCACTAGAGGATGTGGTGCGAAATCTCAAGAACATTGTTATGGACGAATTAGAGAATGCTTTGGCCCAACAGGCTCCACCGCCACCACAAGAGGACCCATCACTTTTCGAGTTACCCCCTTTGATTATCGATGGCATACCGACTCCCGTGGAGAAAATGACACAGGCACAGCTGCGCGCTTTTATTCCCTTAATGTTGAAGTATTCGACAGGTCGTGGCAAGCCTGGCTGGGGACGTGAGTCGACCCGTCCTCCGTGGTGGCCAAAGGAATTGCCTTGGGCAAATGTACGCATGGATGCACGCTCGGAAGATGACAAGCAGAAGGTGAGAGTGCGTCATCCCACTGCCAACCATATTGGCTTTTTGAATTATAATGCTTTTTTCCATATGCAGATCAGCTGGACGCATGCACTACGAAAAATCGTCATCAATTGCTACAAATACCATGGCCGAGAGGATTTGCTACCCACATTTGCCGATGATGACGATAAGATTGAAATGTTGGAAGGCGAAGAGGACGATGAAATGGATGAGCATGAACCCTCGACGACAACAACAACTGTACAAACGGTAGCTAATGCTGCAACGAATACAACAAATGTGAGTATGGTACTTTGGTAATAAACACATACATTAGAGAATTCCGATATTTATTTAAAGACGCTTCTCAATCGAAATTTTTCGACAACAAAAACTATTACAATATTTTTACTTAGTACGGTTTATATTAAGTAAATGCATTTAAACAAAACCATTTGGCATAAAGGCATCGAAAATTACGATAATAAGTTTGAAGGGTAACCCGAAGCGGCTAAAAAACTATATAAAAAAGAACACTTAACAATACATACTGGTCAATCGTGTTAGATCGGCTATCGAAATTGAATATCTTGATTTGCAGCTAAAAAATGGCACTTGTTGATAAATCCAGTCCAAGTCGTTACCCTAATACAGAAAGGTCCTAACCAAATTTCCTCCTAATCCAGCTTTGCACAAAAGTAGCAAATTAATTACAGTATTCAATAAAAAACAACAGAACATATCGCTCATATAATTCAATAGTGTCGTAATCAAAAAGAAAAGATATAAATTTTTAGTTTAGTATGCAGAAATTACCGGTACCTCTTCTTCTATGTTGTATACAAATTTCATAGCTGTATCGATTACCAGTAGAATAAAATATGTATTCACTTTTACTATAACAATAACAACAGATTGACGCTTACACATACGTTAGTGTTTGGAGGAGGAGCCTCCGATTTGTGATGTGCGCCTTGCTGTTGTCACACGAAGGGGACCTACAGTTTTACGCCGACTCCGAACGGCGATCGTATTTTTATGAGAAGCGGTTTTTCATCGCAGAAATACACTCGGAGGTTTGCCATTGCCTGCCAAGGGGCGACTGCTGTTCAGAAAAAACCTATCCTCTACATTCTTTTGCGATGTCTACTGTTTTTACTATGGGTATATGTAAATTCAAAACTTTAAAGCCGTTTTTATTGAGTTTTGATTTTTGAGTTATGACACTATTGAAGTAAATGAGCGATGTATATAAAGAACTTAAATTTTTATTAAGTTCTTTACTTACTTTGTAATGAAACAAGAATTTTAGATGTGGCCTCTATGAAAATACATACGAGTATATGCATACCGGTCCGATTTCTTTCTTTCAAATATTGAACTTACAGTCAGCCAATAAAGTTTTGGTACAGCGGGATATTTGCAATAGGGCAACTGGTG